TTAGTGCAACTCTTGTTTTTCTATCGCAAAATGTGTTAATGTGTAAATTCCACATCTCTGTCGCCCCTCAAAGACAGTGGTAGAAGAAAAACAACTTTGAACTGTGCAGTATCCTTACACCCACTAACTTAGGCAAATTGTTAGCAAAGATAGACATAGAGGAAACCGGTACTCAAGAATTATTGACACTGTAAATAAGCGTAGAAGTCATGCTTTGTATATTTGTGTGACTATATCGGCAATTTGAGAGTGTTGTCATGGTTTGACAGAATAAAAGTGAGATAATGCTTATCGAGATATAATTCCACAACTTCTAGACACAATTTCATACATTACAGAACAAAATTGCTTCAAAAAATAATACTAATGCATTACATAATCTAAAATATACTAGTAATATAAGATGATTTTTTTTTTAAAGTAAAGAGGGTACTATTAAAAAGCCTACACACACGTGGTAAAAAAAGAATTTTCTTATATTATGACAGGAAATACATGAATGAAACTTGAATGAATCTTTCCCAGGAAATACCTATTAGATCTTGAACATGTTTAAGAGATTTAAGTGTAGGAATGCAAAAGTGTTTGAATAAATTGATGTACTAAGAATGGAAGAGTGTTTGAACTTTCCAGCATAGATATAATACAGTTAATGTGTATCCATTCAAGTTTGGCTTTCTGTGATGGTGTCTAGACATGCGAGCAGTACTCCAAGTAACTAGGCACCGTAAAGAAAAGTGACTTTAAAACTCAAATATCATCAAAAGGAGAACATTACGCTAAAGGAGACATATCACTTTGAAAGCCTTAGTAGCAATAATAATTTTGACACCCAGGTATTTTACAGACTTGGCCCTATCGCTGGGAATATCATTGATTAATATTAAGGGATTTCTTATTAGTCAAGGTAATTACATTTGTTCATACTAATTTCAGCTCCCATCGCTGACACCAACGAGTCAGTCTTACTAGTAATACGAGTGAATAATTTAGAATGGCCAGTGTAAAGTGAGAGAGCGTAATGAGATATGACGTCATCGATATACACCACATTATCGGCCATAGTTATGCCGATTAAAATAAGCAGTTTATTATTGAAATAATTTTTATCGAATTTACAGAAATTCACGTAAATTACTTGAAATACGAATACGGTGCTACATATGTTCTGATGCTTTACGAAGATACGCGTTCGTTCATAATATGTTCGTAAGCCGCGACAAAGCCTGCGTATGTCTCCTGCGCTGTCGGAATAATCTGGTCTTCCGGAAGTAGAAATGCATATTCTCCAGTGTCCCTGAGTTCTGTGGTATGGGAATATTTGATACCCATAATGCCATGCCCCCAGTCAACGCTGCAACCTGACGATACATCTGTGAAAATTGCAATTATTTAGATACAGGTATTAATACTGATATATCGGAATAAACTATTCGGAAGATTAAGTAAGTTATGGCACCTTTGAGTGTTTTATTATATTGGGATATGTTGAATTGATGAATGGGGCAATATCGTACCTATATATAGCTAGGTTATAACGCAATTAACTGATACATGTACCTGGATTGTTGGTTGATTCATATTATTCATTGACATAATATTACATGATATGAAAAAGTTACTTCATTGAAAGATGTTCAGTGTCTAGATATGAAAATCGTGGTCCATGTCCCTCCCATAAAACTTTCCATTATATTGAGTTGCAGTGACAATATTTTAACACTCACATGAATTCACAACGTATGACATACCGTTAGTATAAATAAATACACATTCTGTTTCAGGAAATCCCCATTTGATTTGAGCAGTCGGGTCAGTTGATGGTGACATACTACAAACATATTTATCGTATAGTTTCAGTGCCGAAAGACAAATTACATCACTTACAGAGTAAATCTGGGATGGTGCCGTACGTATATTGTTGTCCATGGACTGACGCCACTGCTTCAGTGAATATCTCGCCAACTTTCATCTACAAAAAAAATTATCATTATTCTTTGTTAATGACGGCTATGTTTTTTATTAATAAAATCAGACGTTCGGACTTGGAATGTAATTGAGATGTGAAACGTGTTTTAGTTATGAACTGAGGAATGCCGATTTTTATTTATTTCTGCTCAAAGTGATGTGTATACTAGAATAAAACGAACTAATAATTCAAAATTACGTACGTATTGGAGGCCGTGGCGTGCGTGTTTTAAAATGATGTATGCATTTTAAAAACGGCGTGCTTTTTAATGGTATGTGCATTAAATGTATGTGCATTCAAAAATGATGTGTGTATTTTAAATAGCGTGTGTGTTTAAAAATGACGTGTGTTTAAAAACGACGTGTGTGTTTAAAAACGACGTGTGTGTTTTAAATGGTGTGTATATTAAAATGACGCGTGTGTTTAAAATGACATGTGTGTTTTTAAAAATGACGTGTGTGAGGTCGAATTTCGTGAGTGTAAAAAAAAAACGCGTGCATTAACCTTTTTACGCCTGTAGGAGGCACTATTTTTGAAAGATTTTTTTTCGTGTGTGTGCAAAAAAACGCGTGCATTAACGTTTTTACGCCTGTGGAGGGCGCTATCTTTGAATGATTTTTTTCGTGTGCGTGTTAAAAAATCGTGTGCATTAACCTATTAACGCCTGTGGAGGCGTCGTCTCAAGTGGTAGCCATTTTCGTTTGTAGATTTATATAACATCAATGAGATACGTAGAAAGAAGCGAACGTTTTATTTATTCGGCCTTATAAATTTACCGACACTGTCAGAGGCCTGTCGATTTATTACGGATAGAACAGTATTCGGCCCCATGGGCCTAGACGTCCACGTATTGTCTTTTGCAACCCACCACACGAATAAATCGACAGGCCTCTGACAATGTTGGTAAATTTATAGGGCTGAATGAATAAAACGTTCGTGCTGGACACGTTCCTTTATACGTACCTTATTGACGTTATAGAAATACACAAACGAAAATGCACGCGATTTTTTTAACACACACACGAAAACAATCATTCAAAGATAGCGCCCTCCACAGGCGTAAAAAGGTTAATGCACGCGTTTTTTTTCATTTTACACACACACATATGCATTTTCATTCGACCTCACACACGTCATTTTTAAAAACACACACGTCAGTTTTAAACACACACTATTTTAAAATGCACACGTCGTTTTTAAACACACACGTCGTTTTTAAACACACATCATTTTAAAAATACACATGTCATTTTAATATACACATAGTTTTTAAAACACAAACGTCATTTTAAAACACACGTCATTTTAATATACATATAATTTTTAAAACACACACGTCATTTTAATATACACATAATTTTTAAAACACACACGTCGTTTTTAAACACACGTCATTTAATACGCACATCATTTTTAATACACACACATCATTTTTAAACATACATAATTTTTAAAACACACGTAATTTTTTAAACACACATATTTTTTAAAATACACACGTCAATTTTAATACACACGCCATTTAAAATACATACATCATTTTTTAATGCACATGCATTTAATGAACACATACACACATCAGTCATTTTAAAA